AGTAGTGGTACTATGTGCTTAGTGGTACTGTGGTTTTGGCTCCCCGGTGTATTTTCTCCCATTTCCCTCCTTGCAACAGGCCCTGTCCCACCCTCCCTTCTCCAGTCAGATCAATCATCCAACCATTCACTTGGGCAAAGTACTGAATTAGGGATGAGAACATCTAAGCAAAGACAATTATAGTTCTTCCCTGTTATTAATACGTGGAATTGGAAGAGAGTAACTCTCTTTACATTTGGGGTTGCCAATCTGGGAGGACGTCAAGTTGGTGTTGCCAGCAACTATTTTTCCTGCCACCTGGGAAAAGGTGTGTCTTCAGATAAAAAGACTAAAACTGAACAGAGACCATAGGTGAAGAGACACTGAGAGCAGAATTACTGAACAGCTGGTTCCTAGAGGTCTTCCTTCGGTTCTGTGAATGAGCCCCTATCTTTTCTGTCACAATGAGGCAATAAACTTAAATATGCTTAAGTGAGGTTTAATTGTGTTTTTATAACTTACAGCCATGAATGTCCAAACTAATACAGTTTCTGTGAGTGTAGCTAAGTCATTATCACCACCAGTGAAGAAAGAGCATGGTCAGGAGATACAGCAAAAAGATTCAGCTCCCAATAATAAGCTATGAAAGTGAGCAACCTACAGGCTTAATTTGGAAGAGTACTTTGGAAATTCAGCATTTTAATTTCTTTTGAAAGCCTGTTACTGTTTGAAGATTCTAGGTCCACTACAGTCAATAATGTAGATTTTTCTCAAAGTGTAGTCAAATATACTGTAGTTTATGTAAGGCAATGCTAGCCTAAAATACAAAGGGATAGGATCATAAAGTTAAAAAAATTAGAAATTAATAGTCCTGGTTAAGATTTCTTAGGAATTAAAAAGGGAAGGAAAGAAGTTGAAAGATGCAAGGGTGAACACTGTCACATGTCTGTACCCTATTAAAAAAAATTTTTTTTTTTGAAAAGCTTTATATTTTAGTACATTTAATGGTATGTTTTCCCTGCTTTTCAAATAAGGGCTCCCCCATTTTCATTTTTCACAGGGCCCCACAAATTATTAGTGGTGTTTCTTTTTTTTTTTTTTCATTTTTCTTTTATTATTCATATGTGCATACAAGGCTTGGTTCATTTCTCCCCCCTGCCCCCACCCCCTCCCTTACCACCCACTCCGCCCCCTCCCTCTCCCCACCCAATACCCAGCAGAAACTATTTTGCCCTTATTTCTAATTTTGTTGTAGAGAGAGTATAAGCAATAATAGGAAGGAACAAGGGTTCCCTATTAAAAAATTCTTTGTAAACCCTATATAGTACATTGCTTGGAGTTGTCTACATTTCCATTGTTTTCAAAGAAGTGAAGACTATTAACAGAGGAACAAAAAGCTCTGGGGCAAAACATTGTTACCTTAGTGTTTTTAACTGTATTAACCCTCTATATAGGTTGAGTGAATATACCATAGTTAATTCTGTTGATTGGTAGGGAGGAGGAGACTAACTTAACAAGGTCTGAAATTACTATTTCAGTGCCAAATAGTATAATTTTGAAGGAATTCTAGACAAAAGTCTTCTCTTGACAACAGCTTTTGAAAAAGAAAATATTTACTTTAAAATATTCACATTCTGTCAGAGAAAAATGAGATGCAGATAAAATGAATTAGTAGTATAATGCTAATAAAGTATGTATTCATAAAAATAGATGTATATTTTCCTACTATTTAATACAGTAACATGTAATTTTGATTAGGGACATGAAAATGTCCTTTAACAGAACAGTCTGGCAGAAAAGTGATTTTATTAGGTCAAACAAAAAGATTGCTGATGTCATTCATTAATATTTTATTTTAAATGAATAATTGTGTGATTATCCTTTTAGTAGCATATGGATTCCCTAGCACTTTTGTTTTATAACCTCATTCTTAAAAATTCCAGTGGCTTGTTTTCTTGTATTTCCCTTAATTGTGGTGATCTTAAACAGATCTGCAGTTTTAAATCTGCCAGTTGTTCTAATACAGATGCATAAATATATTTTCTCCAGTTGGCTCTTTATTACAAAGACAGCTTGTTTGTGGGCACTGTCAGGACATCTGCATTTTATTGAATTTAATTTTTAGTAATAAAGACCTCCCACATTACACATTTTTCCAGTTTAAATTTGCCTGTGTGGGAAGCAAAGGAACCGTCAGTCAGAGGAAAAAAAGTAAATCCATATGGTGCTGAGGGTTCTGTTTCCCCTACTACAATGAAGAAAGAGTTGAGTAGAGACAGTGCCCAGTGCCCCCAGCAGATCCTTCTTTCTTTTTTTTCTTCCTAAAAAGCTGGTTGCTATGGTCTGAATGTTTGTGTCCTCCTCAAATTTGGATGTGGATACATAATCAATGTGATAGTATTAAGAGGTGGGGCCTTTGGGAGGTGATTAGGTCATAATCACCTTGACTGTAGGATTAGTGCTTTTATAAAAGAGGTCTGAGGGAGCTCGTTAGCCTCTTTTGCCCTTCTGCCATGTGAGGACATGTAGAAGGTACCATCTATGAGGAATGCACTCTCACCTTATAAACTATCCAGTCTAAGGTATATTGTTCTAACATCCATGACAGACTAAGATATTTGCTAGCCCAGTAACTGGCTGGTTAAGCCAGCTCAGTTCATCTACCTTGCATTAAGCCATGACTGCTTAAGCCAAATTCTGAAGACATACTCTATTTTGTTTCAGTCATGTTCTGTTTCTCTTGCATGTATGCCCAGTCCCTGACTCTTTCCACTCTTTTCTCATCTCTGCCCCTTGAACTTGTTTGATCTTGGTTTTCCCAGTCTAATCTTCACTACTCTCTAAAGACTGCCCAACTTCCCACCCAGGCTGTAAGCACCAAATCTATCAAAAAGTAATCAAAACATTGTATCTTCAGCTTTACAAAGGTGACAAACTAAAATTGCTAATAGAACTTGAAGTGGTTACATCTTCACTTTACAAAGTTACAAATAATTTTTCACTGTGCAGAGAACAAACAGAAACTGAAAACTTTTGATTGACACCAGAATATCTAGAACAGCTCATTTCTTTTGGTCAAGATCACTAACAGGATGAAGAGGCAATTGGGTACTACATACTCTTTACATCAGTGTTACTTCCCTTAGTACAAATAAGAACAACCTGTTATCTTTCTTGTACTTCTACCATCACAACTCCTTGTCAACCCCGAATTTCATCCAGAGAGAAGATGCTGCTTTTTCTTTTCTTTTTTTTTGTGGTGCTGGGGATTGAACCCAGTGCCTTGTGTATACTAGGCAAGTACTCTACCACTGAGCTACACCCCCAGCCCAAGATGATGCTTTTAAAGACACTTTTATGTTTATGTCCATGTAAATTATTGGGTAAATTTAAAGTTAAATAAACTTGCTAGTTGCTGAGGGGCATATAAATTTTGATGACTTATCCTTAAAAAGCCTATTGTAGTCTAATGCAGTGGATAGAATCATGTCCTTCCAACAGTTATGTTTACATCCTAACCTCTGGTATCTGTGAACGTGATCTCACATGGAAACAATTTTCCACATGAAAGCAAGTTAAGATGAAGTTATACTTTTATGGGTGGATCTTAATCCAGTAACTGCTGCCTTCATAAGAAGAGGGAACTTTGGACACATAGACACAGCAGGCAGGTATGCTGTGTGATGATGGAAGCAGAAATTGGAGTGATGTGTCTCCAAGCCAAAGAGTGCTGACAATCCCAAAAACTGTGAAGAATTAGGGATGGGTTCTTAGACAGCAGAGTCCTGCTAACATTTTAATTTCAGACTTCTACCTTTCAGAACTGTAAGAATAAGTATATGTTGTTTTAAGCCATCCATGTTGTAGTAATCTATGCGGCAGCTTTAGGAAACTAATATACTAGTTAAAGAGACAGAAATATGATTAAGAGCTGTAACAGAGGTTCAGAGATTTATGGATCTAAAAAAAGGAGACATACTTTTCTGTGTTGCAGACAGTAATTATTAGAATATCAGGTTCTCTTTGCAAAAATTTAGTAAGTTATCTGACTTTTTTTTTCTTGCAATGTGGGGATGGATTTCAGGGCTTTCTGCATGCTAAGCAATGCTCTACCACTGAGCTACATCCCAGCACCGACTTTTTGATTTATTCAGTGATTTAAATGACTTACCTCAACCTCTCCAAATCTGTTTTACATCAAAAGAGGGCTTTGGCTCACTGTACCTCTAAAGCCTGTTCCACTTGTAATACTTTATGCGTCTGCTTCTGTAATATATATGATTTTTCTTCAATTTTGTACGTATAATTTAAGAAGTGATTAGGTTAAGGAGGATTCACTTAGTGTCCTCTCCTTCTGCTCCCTTCCCCCCAAAAGTTGAGAAGCCTGTGAAAATTAAAGCATCTTATTCTCCAGGCTGAGCTTCTTTTAGGGTGTATGGAGCTGAAGGACAAACTATCTTTCAATTTAGACACTGCTCAAGTCTCCTTTCTGACAAGCACGTTTGAAATAATAAGAAATAATTAACACTATTAATTAAATATTAACACATGGATGTGTTTGACCGTGGACCAATCGACTCCACAGCTTAGTGGAACACAGGGAATTCACTTAGGTTTCTGGGCGTTGGCAGAGTCCCTAAATAAGGTAGTTTAAACTCTTTAAGGTTATTTCCTTATCCCTAAAATGGAGATAACGGTATCATCTTGATGGGTTGCTGAGTGGACGAAATAAAACAGAATGCCATGTATACATGTATTTTAGAGTGCCTGGTGTGCAGTGGGAGCTAATGTTCTAAGGTGCTTACAAAATCCTTGCTTTAGAAAGGCTACCGGAACTTCCGAGGCCCCCCGCCCACCTCCCGGTGGGAGACAAGTGGGGTGCCAGGCCTCTCTCCAGTCCTTTTTTCCCTTCACCTGCAGGACGAGCGGAAAACCTGACGGAAGCGCGGGGGCGGAGCCTGGCGGACAGGGGCGGAGCCTGGAGGGCGGAAGCGCGGGTGGCGCTGTCAGCGGCGCCGGAAGTTCCTAGCCGGGCCTGTTGGTAACCTTGCGGGCCTTGGGGCCGCAGCTACAGGGGTGGTGTTTGCGAGTCCGAGCGTCAGCCTGGCCAGGCTTGTTCACTGCCAGAAGCGCTGAGGGCCGCGGAGAGCTGGCACCGGGGTGCGGGGCTGCTCGGCCGACATGTCTCTGGTGGCGGAAGCCTTCGTCTCTCAGATCGCAGGTAGCGCGCGTGGCCTTGGACGGAGGCGGGAATGGCGCGGGGCAGGTGCGGGTAGCAGCGTGAGTGGGGGGCCGGAGCTTTCCTCTAGCCTTGCGGCTCTGGACGCTGAACCCAGGCCCGGGGGTGGAGGCGTGCCCCGAGGGCTAGCCTCACTTTACGGATGAGAAAACCGAGGAGGACACACTTGGCCAAGGTCACCCCGCAGGTGCCGGGTCGCATTTGCTTTCCAGCCAGTGGTTTGTCTGTCCTGGTCTCCTCCAGGGGCGGCTGAGGTATGCAGGAGGCCATGGTTTGGGGTGCAGTGGGGGCGTGGCCACAGCCTGGCTCGGAGGGCTTCTGTGTAGGACCGGGGGCAGTGGCTCCCGGTGGGGCCTTAAGTTTAAGGTGACTGCCACCAAGGAGCGGTCCTTGTTACCTGTTGTCATTGAGGAATTACCGAAGTTCTTGCTTCCTTTTCAAGGGTCACAATACTGCTATTTGTTAAGACTGTAGGAGTCATTGAAATGTCTTTAAGATACTTTAAAGAAATATCCTGTGATTCGATGAACCGAACAGAACTGATGTAAATAGGTTTGTAATATTTTTTTAATTGAGGTTTTTATTTATTATAGTGAAAGAAATTATTATATTGAAAAAGTGAGGAGTCTAGGCGTAGGTTTTTCTAGGTTTAGTGTGGTGGAGTTAATCCTAACTCTAACAAGTGTTTTCTTGTTTTAAATTAATTTTATTTTTTATTATTATGTTATTGGAGTACAGCAATGAAATTGTCACTAGAATAAATAGGTACATTTGAAGTAAGAAAGTAGTATTTTGGAAATGGGAAGTACAAAATGTGTAATAAATTTTGCCAAACTTGTTTTCATGGCATTACAATGTATTTCTTTTTTACTTAAAGTGCACTGTTTTCGAGGAGACGGTGAAGCTCCCACTAAATTGTAAGCTTCCTGAAAGCAAGGATCATACTCGTTTTGTCTCCCGTGTCATCGTGAACATGGCCTCGGTCCTCTATAAATAATCTGCGACTTGAATCAATTAATAGTCTTGGGATTTCAAGCAGTGATTATTTCAACTTGATAAAAATTAGGTTGAAAAAATTAGACTTATCTAGTTAGTAATTTATTTAGATTGATGTTAATGTTAAAAGATCATTTCACAGTGTAGGCTGATACCAGTAAACTGTGTGCATGTGTCCTAATGTGTGATTTCTTTTAAAGAGAAAACGACAAATGTCTTTTAATAAAATTTTAAGTTTGGGATTCTGCTTCAATTAGTAAAGTTTAAGAATTTCTGGGAACTTTGTCTGCTGTCTTTGCTATTTGTAGTGAATTATAACTAGTAAGGAAGCAGTTAGAGATGGGTGGTGATTCAATCCATGGTATCGGAACCGGTCTTAAGTCATCATATCACGTAAATTCCAGATGGATTAAAGATTTAAATGAAACATAAGCCAAATTATAGCTAAATAATTAGAAGAAAATAACTAGGAGAAAATACAGGAGATTATTTTAATAATATTGGGTGGTAGAACAGACCTAAACAAAACTCAGAATCCAGATTCCATAATAGAAAAAAATGGCAGAGTTGGTTGTAGAAAAATTTTAACAGCTTTGTATGATAAAGGACACTATGAATAGTTAGATGTAGTGGCACTTGCCTCTAATCCTAGCACTTGGAAGGCTGGGGCAGGAGAATTGAGAGTTTGAGGCCAGTCTGGGATACATAGCAAGACCCTGTCTCAAAAACCAACCAAACAAAAAACCAAAAAAAAAAAAAACCACATAAATAAGTTTCTACAAATAAATAAGAAAAAAACATTTCATAATGATAAAAAAAACCTGACAATTAAGAGCAAAGGATCGGTACAGGCATTTTACAAAAGGGGAAACACAAATGGACAGTGAACTAATGCTCTCCTTCACTAACATAAATTTTCCACCTAGTTAGATGGGCAAAATGAATATGATAATTTCTAGAACTGAGAGGGGCATAGTTAATAGTAATTAACTATTGTTAATACTACTTTTTAGGAACTTAATATAGCAATATTTATTAAAATGCTATTCTTTGAGCCAGAACTTCTCCTTATGGAGACTTATCTGATAGAAATGTAAGGACCAGTGCTTAAAGAAATATACGACACTAATTATAGCATTATGTGTAGTAGCCAAAAAATAGAAATTGTTTCCCAAATGTGTATCAGATTATGGTATGCCAATCCAGCTATGCCACTTTGGGTATATATATGCAGAATAGTTTAAATTGGTATGTTGAAGAGATATTTGTACTCTCATGTTCATTGTAGCACTATTTGTAATGATGATGTGGAGGCAGCCTGAATGTCCATCAACAGATGAATAGATAAAGAAAATTGGCATTTACACAATGTGGAATACTATAAAATCTTAAAAAATGAAAGTAATTCTGTCATTCACAACAGTATAAATGGAACTGGAGGACCTGTTGTTAAGTGAAATCAGCCAAGCACAGAAAGACAAGAACTGTGTGATCTCACTTATATGTAGAATCTAAAAATAATTGATCTTGTAGAAATAGAGACTGAAAAAGGGATGGTACCAGAGGCTGGGGGAAGGAGGATGAAAAAGGAGAGATATTCATCAAAGCGCACAAAATTTAACTTAGACTGGAGGGCTAAGTTTTAGTGATCTATTACTGCCCTGAATGGTAGCCACATTTAATAATCATATATTTCAGAATTGTTAAAAAAACAATTTTTAATGTTTTCATCATAAAAATAGACAAATTGGTGAGGTGATGATATATTAAATAGCTTGATTTAGTCTTTCTATAATGTTTGCATTGATCAAAACATTTGTTAACTAGAAAACTAAATTTATAAAAGTGATGCTATGCCTACATTTTTTAAAAATGAAGAGATGTACCTATCAAATATATTGGCTTGAAAGCTAGGATTATATTAAGTAAAAAGTTATAGGATGATATATGTCTTGTATGAACTTGATAAATAAATAAAGCCTACATAGAAATGTGTATGTTTACATAAGCAAAGAAAAACTTGTAGAAGAATATTCAACTAATTTTCCCTAGAAGTTTCAGGGTAATAAAAAGAGGGTTTTGGTGGAGGGTAGAGGAAGTATATTTGAGTTGTTTGAATTACTATAGTGAGCATATTTTACTTTTGTAATTTAAATGAATATAAGTTTTTCATTTTAAAATATTATACCTTGTTAAGAAGTGAAAAAGGATGAGGGCCAAAGGAATAATTTATCTGAGACCTTGTGTTGAACTTGTGACTTACAAGTGTGACCCATTCATAATATTCTGTTTCTGATAGTAACTAATGATTTTCTTGTAAAAAGTCAACCTCAAAAAAGTATAGATATATATTTATATAGTACTATTATAACTTAATAAGTAATTAGGTTTTCCTTTTTTTGGTTACGGAGAGCTTATATTATTATTCTTATTTTTCTTCTTCCCAGTGGACATGAGCTAACACTTTTTAGTGTCTCTTTTGGAAACATTTAAGGGCATCTGGAATGTGCCTGTGATATTTTTGTAGTACCTTCTTGAGAGCCTTATTCATAAGGACATTTTTTTGGAAGCTGCTAGAGTTTGGGTATGGAATGTTCCCAAAGGCCCATGTGTTAAAGGCTTGATCTCCAGTGTGGCAGTATTGGAAACTGGTGGAAGCTTTAAGACATTGGGACTGTGAGACCCTGGTCTCTTTTGCTTTCTTTTTTTGTATTGCTCATGAGGTGAACAGCTTTGTTCTGCTGCATGTCATGATATATTGCCTTACTACAGGCCTCAAAGCAACAAGTCTGCCCTGCTATGTACTGAAACTTGCCACCTGTGAGCCAAAATAAACCTTTCTTCTTTATAAGTTGATTATCTCAAGTATTTTCTCAGAGTATCTGAAAGCTCACTGACAGAGAAGCCTTCTTTGAATTCCCAGTTTAAATGAACTACTTCTGTTTCCTCCCCATCAAGTTTTCTGTTCCTATGCCACTATATGAGTTACTCTTTCCATCTCATCTGCTGTTACCTTATTTGAAGGTTTTGTTTCTCACTTGAATTACTGTATTAGTCTTTGAATTTTTGTTTTTTTCTTTCAGTCTGAACTTCTTCCAAATGAGTCTCTATACTGTAAGCCTCAGTGGGAGTTTTGTTTTATTTTTATTTGCTTAAAATATTGGTGTGACTTCTCGTTTTAAACCTTCATTGGTTTTCTAGTGTCAATAGGTGGAGTGGCATGTGAGACACTTCATAACTAATTCCAAGTCTGTCACTCTAGCCTGTCTCTTGTCACTCCTTTCCTTGAACTTTAACCTTTCTAAATAATTTGTAGTGTCCAACTTTGGCACATGTTGCCCTCTGTCTAAAGTGTCCACTTACACAGCTCTTACTTCTTCTTTAAGACTCTGAGCACCATTTGAATGTGTAAGTCAATCTGACACTTCTTCCCTGTCAGATGAGAAAGGTTTATAGTGGTTTTTTTTTTTTCCTAAAGATAATAACAATGACATTTGACCACTGTATAAAATGAAAACAACTGGTGGCTCACACCTATAATCCTAGTTACTCAGGAGGCAGAGATCAGGAGGATTGCAGTTCGAAGCCAGCCCAGGCAAATAGTTTGTGAGACCCTATCTCGAAAAACCCTATTACAAAAAATTGGGTTGCTGGAGTGGCTCAAGGTGAAGGCCCTGAGGTTGTTTTTTTTTTTTTTTTTTTTTTTTTTTTATATAGCTGTATTTTTATGATTTTATTAGTATATAATAGTTGTACAGGGGAATACATTATGGTATGTACATATGTGCTTATAGTATATCATAGTAAGATTTACCCCCTCCATCAATCTCCCTTTTTTTTTTTTTTTTTCATTTTTCTTTTATTATTCATATGTGCATACAAGGCTTGGTTCATTTCTCCCCCCTGCCCCCACCCCCTCCCTTACCACCCACTCCACCCCCTCCCGCTCCCCCACTCAATACCCAGCAGAAAACTATTTGCCCTTA